GCTGATTTGCACTGGACAATCCAGTTCTTTGTTTCACTCTATTCTCATTTCATTTACACTTAATTTAGTACTTTCTATTTGGCTTTTATGGACGGTGATTGTTAATGTTTCTTTCTCTGAAGCTGCAACTAATGCAGGTAAAGCAACGCAATGGCTACTCCAAAAATGAAATCACAAGAGCCATCAAACCAAGAAAACAACACCGAACTGAAGAACAAAAACAGCCACCCACAAACAAAATATTTGTGCCATACATCAAAGGGGTCACAGACCGCATGGGGAAACTTCTGGAAAAACACAACTTACAAACAGTATTCAAGCCCACCACAAAAATACAACAAATGTTACGGTCAGCAAAGGACAGAAGGGACCCCCTCACCACTGGAGGAGTATACCGGATACCTTGCAGTTGTGGCCAGGTATACATTGGAACCACAAAACGAAGCATCCACACCAGATTCAAAGAACATGAGAGACACTGCAGACTAAAACAACCAGAAAAATCTGCAGTAGCTGAACATGCCCTAAAACAAACTGGACATGAAATTCTATTTCAAAATACTGAAAGACTGGACAACACCAGCAATCATTACGTCAGACTGCACAGGGAAGCCATTGAAATCCACAAGCATCAACAAAACTTCAACCGGAAGGAGGAAAGTCTGAAACTCAACAAAACCTGGCTCCCAGCTCTCAAAAACAGAGTGCAAAAGGTCAACGAACTCCACCCAGCCACAAGGTCAGGGGATTACTACACACAAAAGACCAGCTAATGACACCCATCAACCACAGGGACAGATAATCTCCCCTCCTTATCAAAACAATACAGCCACAACAAAACATACTAATTAACCATCTCCTGATAGGACAATAGCCTTCTCACAAACAAGCCTTCTCACAGCCATAAATACTCCACTCTCAAGCCTTACCCAGAGCACAGTTTGTTGTCCTCTGAAGATGCCGGCCACAGAGACTGGCGAAACGTTAGGAAGAACCACCTTCAGAACACGGCCAAGAAGCCCGAAAAACCCACAACAACCAACTCAAGGCTGATGGTCTGTATATGGATAAAAAAGTTACAATGGTAAATGTTGCCATAAGTTGGGATGGGCCATTATTTTTTTAAAAAACTCCAACTGGCAGAATTCACCAAGAGGTCTCCAGGCAGAATTCAGAGAGTTGCAGCCCAAAGATACACACTAGAAACACCTACACCAGAGGTGTCAAACTCTGTTTCATCTTGGGCCGCATCGGCGTTATGGTTGCCTTCAAAGGGCTGGTTGTATCATATTAAATATAATCCTCCTCATTCAATTATTACTGTACTTTCTGTCTCTTCACTGCTTGGATTGCTGGGATTAGGAGTCCTGATGGGCGGATTCCCAGGATTTTGGCGGAGCATTATGGGTGGATGAGTAAACGCCTACGTATTGTATACTGCACAGTAGCAGTCAACACTGTGAGGACCACATGAAATGGCCCAGGGGGCCTTGAGTTTGACACATATGACCTACACATACATACAGTACCTGTATTTGCTTCATCTTCCAGGTAGTTTCAGGCCTACGTCCTGTACAGAAAAGAAAAGAAACTGTCTCAGTGCTTTCTGGGAGGCCTAGATCTTTGTGGGGGGTATAAGCTTGCTGACCATTATGTCGTGGCCCATTCAAAAAACTAAACAACCCAAAAAGACCTAAGCCTGCAAGAAAGCATTGGAGCTGTTTCCTGTTTGGACAGGAATTAGGCCTGCGACAGCCTGGGAAATAGGCCTTTTTCCAGGTGAGTGAAATGTCAGTGTGTGTCTTTGGGATGGAACTCCCAGAATTCTGCCTGGTAAATTCTTGAATTTAGAAAGCAAATACCACAAACTGAGGGAGCATAGTCTGAAACTGACGTGATATCATTATAAGATGTTGACAGAAACTGAAGTAAGTGAGATCAGATGTGTACAGATACGTAATACGTATATGCTGAAATCCAGTATTAAGTTGCAACTAGAGTAGGACCATTGAATCAGTGGAACTTACAGAGGAGTGGATTCGGTAATTTCCCCACTGATTCAATGAGCCTACTCACTTTGTGATTTATTACAAAATTTCATTAATAACTTCTCTCTGTAGGGTATAGCGTGCACCATACAATAGATTTGCTCAGCACTTGGTGATATCCAGAACCCTACATCATTGAACTCTGCTTATAGGGCTGGATGGTTATGGGGACTGTCATGCTGAGTCTCTTTCACACCCAGATAATCCCTCCACCAGTGCTCTGAGGTGTAATCACAAGTGGTCTGGAACAAAAGTTCTCAATCTCTGGACTCTATTGCCATCGGTCATGCTGGCTGGAGCTTCTAGGAGTGGAGGGAAAAAAGACGCGGATGGCCAGTAGCTGAGAACCACTAACTGGTCTAAAGTCGAACTTTTCTAGCTACTGTGCAATGAACTGTTTGGCTGTGAAATTTATAAAGGTTCAAACTCTGTGTTTAAAGTCTGTTCCACAGGAATTATAGGAATTGTATGGTTAGTGTTTAGTACTGTGTACTATGCTTGTGTTGATGAAACCTTTGGTGCTGGTTGACCAAGCTGGTATATATTGGCATGGAGGGCTCCTTTTCCTTGTAGGCATTGGGTCAAGATTAGGATTAAGGGCTGAGGGCTGGAGAAAAGTGATTGGGGGTTTATAGGGGGGTCAGGGTTAGGGAGGCAAAGAGAGTGTGGGTGAGGGATTGTGCAAGAATGTGGGAGGGTGGTTTGAGGAAAGGACAATACTACCTTTTGCCTCAATTCCTTATCAGAGTTGGGGGGAGGGGCGAGGGCTTCAAGCTCATAAAATCAAGATAGGATGTAAATAGGAATGGTAAAAGCTTGGGAAGCACAAACACACACACACACACACACACACAAACACACACACACACACACACACAAGGGGAGGGGTTTGCTAGCTCTAAAGTCATAAGAAGAAAATCTGATCAATTCTGCACTCATTGTCAACCTGGCAGCTGTAACATGACATCTCTCTCTCTCTCTCTGTATGTGTGTGTGTGTGTGTTATCATGGGTATAGCGCTACAGTCACCAAGATTCCCTGTGGAATCACTGCAAGTAAAAGAGGATAGAGGTACCCAAAATGAGTTGTGTAAATGCTGATTCCTGCAAATGGCTTTCCAAAAATCCTGGCTCCTCCCACCGCAGTCTAGTTTTTTTTTTCCTTGTGGGACATGCTGCATTCTTGAAAGGAGCTTGTTCTAAATAGCTGCTTTTTCTTTCTTTGGTTTCTTCTTCCCCCACCCATTTGTTTTCCCTACTTAGAACTTTAGGTAGCTTTTCAGTTGAGTCTGGAAAGTGGTGCCCTTTTGAATTCTGATAATCTTTGCTTACGAATTCTATGCATGGCAGATCAGACAAGAAACAGAAACAGAAAAAGACAAAAGCATTGTGGCACTTTAAAGACTAAGTGCTATATTTTAATGTGAGCTTTTGTGGGTCAAGTCCACTTCCTCAGACATAAGAGTGAGTATATTGTAATAATTTAAACATGGCCCTATGATGCAGTGGGGATACAAAGGACAAAGTGACTATTGGAAAAATATGGTTTAAAAAAGGCTCGGGTTTCTCATATTTGGTTATTCCTTTCAATTATTAGAGTATAAGGTAGAAAAACAACACAAATTTAGAGAAATCAGCCCTATCTTATTAAACAACACCCTGTGTGGTTTGCATACAAACTAGGACTTTGTATAGTGAAAATCACTAGAAGCATTTACATTTAAAAAGTGGTATTTTTACTTACAGTTACTATCTGTAGCTACAGTCAGAAGAAAAAATTCAGGAAAAAGTTTCTAACATGCAGGAGACTCTGCATGCTTGCTACTTGGAGGATGGTCAGAGTTAGAAGATGGAGCTATCAACAAAACAATGGAAGCAGAATGCAAGCAAGAAGGCCAGGCCTTGCCTCAAATTCCAGAGGCAGAGAAAGAACTTCACCTTGTCAAGTCAGTGACAAAGGACAATCATCGTTGTCGTTGTCTAGTCGTTTAGTCATGTCTGACTCTTCGTGACCCCATGGACCAGAGCACCCCAGGCCCTCCTATCTTCCACTGCCTCCCGGAGTTCTGTCAATTTCATAGTAGACTGTAAATCCTCCTCCCACTGATACCCAGTGTTAGTGCATGTAAGATTTCTATTACCCTGACAGTAACGATGGTTAGTTAGTATGGTAGACACTAGTTGTAAATTGTGAGAGTCAGTGTGGCATTTTACACCTGGTAGGTGTTTTTGGTAGATTTCTTTCCCTTTGAAACCTTGTTCTGCAAAAAGTGACAATAGTTTGTTGATAAACGAACATCAGTCCATGGATAACAACATAGGTCTTTAGGGCATTCCTTCGCGCTCTGTGTTAATATCTAGTTTATCAACAACAGGAAACTTAAGAATCCAGGCTGCTGTTTAGCTTCAGCTTTATATATGCTTGCTTAAAATGTTCTGGAAGGATGGATTTAAAAGTAACATTGTATTCTTTAAATGAGAAGAGACTGATACGTAGGTGTAGGGTCATAATTTTCGCAATGGTGTAAGCGTGCTTATTTTAGTGATGCATTTGTAAAACAGTATTTTCGTGGGAAGGGTTTTTCTTGGTTGTGGACTGAAAAGTAGCAAAAAATAAACCAAAACAAAGCCATTTATAGATGAAAGAAAACCTGGGTTTGTGTGTGTTGGAGCTTTCTATTTTTCCGATATGCTTTTCCACAACTCCCATATAGCAAAAATGGACAGTGGAAACAGTTGTTTTCTGACCTTGAAGGTTACTCTTGTGAGTGCCTCTGCGCCGTCTCTTTTTCTATTATGCTGACCGCTGTGAACAATCTTTCCCTAAATACTTTTTTCCCCCCTGTTTTGCTATGTGCCAGAAAAGTCAATTGAAGTCTTTTTCCTTGAGTCTTCAGATAACTCGGGCTTCTTATTAAATTTTAATTTTGTTGCTTCTCCTTTCCCCCCTTAGAATACAGAAAGATGGCAAAAATGGAGGTGAAGACATCTCTTCTTGACAATATGATCGGGGTTGGAGATATGGTGCTCCTGGAGCCGCTCACCGAGGAAACATTTATCGATAATCTCAAGCAGCGTTTTGATCACAGTGAGATCTATGTGAGTGTGATATGAGTAATGTCCACATGCTTGTGTGTTGATACAGGAACTCCTAATACGTGTGTGGGTGTCGTTCTGTGCATTCAGGGGCAGGAGTGCAAAAGTCCAGGAGCAATTTTCCTGTAAAGTATACAGTTGAATACACAGCCATGGAAATATAAACCCGTTTAGTTGATGGTATGGCAACACTAGAACCGTCTTACTGTAAGGCTACATAAAATGTATTTTAATGTTTTCCTTTCCTTTTTTTTATGAAGGAATGTTGGCAACTTAGTTTGGTTTCTTTTCTTTTGGATGGGAAAATAACTTCAGAAAGCAAGTGCAGGTACTCTACTGTTATCCTCACCAGAAAACTGGCACATAGGCCTTACAATTTGAAAATGTACAGTTTCCCCAAAAATAAGACCTAACCTGAAAATAAGCCCTAGTAGGATATTTCAGGATGCTCGTAATATAAGCCCTACCCCAAAAATAAGCCCCAGTTAAGTGAAACCCTGCCCTCCACCCTTGGGCAGCAACCAGAAGAAGATGACATGACTGTCTTTGAATAAATGTAGATTGTTGTACATGAAAAAAATCCCCTGAAAATAAGCCCAAATGCGTTTTTTGGAGCAAAAATTAATATAAGACCCTGTCTTATTTTGGGGGAAACATGGTATTGAATAGTTACTGTGCTCTTGAGCTTGTGCTGGAGCCTGACTGCTTTCTCATTGCTGGTTTATACAAAACCTTTCCCTTCCCTAGGCAGAATAATTTAAAACCTGTTTGTAAATGGCTGCTGTTAGGACTTCAAAAGAAAAAAGTACAGCATCTGTCTTCAGAGGGCATTCTTGATGAGGAGAGAGCCTTCCATGACTTGGGGGCTGATTCTGGCTTTCACTGCTTAGTATTAGGCAGAGGCTGTGCCAAGGTGAGGGTCAGGCAGGCTCCTGTTCTTTAAGAATAACTCAGGTGATGTTTAACACGAGAGCTTGTGTAGACCGACTGCCCATCTTCATTGAATGTAAACCTGGTATCTCATAACTTAGGCCAAAGCAGGATGAATTTGATTTGAAATCAGATTTATATTGTGAATTAAGTAACAATTTAAATCAGCAGTTTAAATAACTACTCACATTTGATTTTATCCTGTGAAGCACTCTTGCTTGCTACTGCCTCAGTATATATTTTATATATCTATACAGGCATCCATGCCCACACATACATATATATAATTATGTATAAAGAGTTTATCCATTGATTCAGTGGACTTATTCTAGTGCTATTTACTATGCTAAGTAACAGGATTGGGGCCAATATATACTATTTTGTACTGTATATATACAGTAGTCACACGAGCACACAGATACAGATACACAATTACCTTGCACATTTTAACTCCACCTCTGATAATTCCATCATGGTTTCAGGGAGACAGGTGAACACTTGACCTTATCTACATAGAATCACAGATGGACAGCAGCTAAGGTTGCCATTTTGTGGAATCTTGGGAATTTTAATAGGGCTTTTAAGAATATTCAGTATTATTTCATGCTGAGAGTGGTGGGCGAGGGAACTTCAGGAATAGCCTGAGTCAGACATGAAAAATAGAGCTCATCAGCTCTGTTGTTTCTCATCTCCAGATATAGCTGGTAACAAGTTTATATCTCTGGAGACGCAAGCTAAGTTTGAGGAGCACAGTTTTTTTCTGATGGTATTACAAGGCTGACCTAAATAATCTAGACAAAAGGCCGTGGAACTCCTTAAAAACAAGGCCAATTCAAAGAACTTATTTTAAAAAATGAACTCATTATATTATAATATAGAATTAGAATTTACCATCCTTATACCCTATCTTCTGAGTTACAGTTACTGTCACAAAGGGCTTTACAAAAACAAGCAAGCAAAAAAATTTAACAATTCAAACAAAATAGTCTGATCAAAATTAAGAAAACTACTTACTTACTCACTCACTCACTCACTCACTCACTCACTCACTCACTCACTCACTCACTCACTCACTCACTCACTCACTCACTCACTCACTTACTTACTTACTTACTCACTCACTCACTCACTCACTCACTCACTTACTTACTTACTTACTTACTTACTTACTTACTTACTTACTTACTTACTTACTTACTTACTTACTTACTTACTTACTTACCAAACATTGATTTTTGCTCACTCTGAGCCAAAGATTTCAGCATAGATTCTAAAGGACAATATTAGATTTTTTTAGTATTACGTAACTGGAAATCCCAATTTGATCCGTCAGTTATGTAACTTGGGTGGTGCTAGAAAATTTGAGATTAGTGCTAAAGAACAAACCCTACAAAACTACTAATTAAAAAAAAGAATATTGCATTTTAAGATTTGCAGTTAATGGTTTATGTATGGCAACAAGAGTTTAGGAACTGCGTGCCTGTTTTCCCCTCCACCTTCCTCCCTATTGGATTCCCTTAACTTGTGTCTTAGTCTGTTTTTAGAACTCATGTGCCGCATTGCTGACCAGTTTTAAATGAAACCAGACAGGTTCTTATATTCTTAAAGATTCGCTTGCACCTTTTCTTCCTGCCTTTCTTCTTTCTCTTTTCTTTGTGTTTTGTACCGGTTTATGAGAGCTGTGTTCTCACCTTCAGTTCATTTTCCTTTTAAAATTCTGGCTGAAATACAGTAGCATCTTGTAACTAGAATAGGCCTATTGAATCAGTGGAAATTACATAGGTGTTGACTCACTGAATCCCGACTGATTCAGCAGGTCTACTCTAGTTGTGACTAGAGATGGTGGTATTCGTATACAAATACGAATATTCCCCCACAGGTGGAGACAACGAGGGTCTGGCCCCATGGGGTTGGACGGTCCACTCACAATTGTGCTGCTGCCGCGACTGCTGTGGAGCCTTCCAGTGGCTCCGGAGATTGCATCCGGCAAGCCACTCTTTGACGTGGCAGAGAGACTAATCATCCTGCCTCCTCCCAGTAGTGGTGAGTCAAATGCGATCTCCGGAGCCATTAGAAGGTTCCGTGGGAGTTGCGGCAGAGGCAAAATTGTGAGTGTACTGTCCAGCCCCATGGGGCCAGGCCCTCGTTATCTCCACCTGTGGGGGGTATTTGTACAGTGGTGCCTCGCAAGACGGGCGCTCCGTTTAACAACGAATCTGCATTACGCTGAGGTTTTTGCGATTGCAAAAGCAATTGCGAAACAACGTTTTGAATGGGGGAATTTCGCTGTGCGATGATTGTTTCCCTGTTTTGGGAACCGATTTTTGCTTCCCGACGATCAAAACAGCTGATCGTCGGGTTTTCAAAATGGCCGCCGGGTGTCAAAATGGCTTCCTGCTGTGTTTAGGAGCCATTTTTTGCTGCACAGGCACTCAGAAATGGTTGCCCTTTATGGAGGATCTTCGCTGGTGAGTTCTTAGCCGATTGGAATGCATTAACCAGGTTTTAATGCGTTTCAATGGCTTTTTTATTTTCGCTTTACATCGTTTTCGTTCTACAGCGATTTCGCTGGAACGAATTAACGTCGCAATGTGAGGAACCACTGTATATGAATACCCCCATCTCTAGTTGTGACTTTTGGATTCTAGGTACTATGGATGCTGTCTGTACCAGAGTTCTGATTGTGCATGCTCTTAAAAGCACCATAAAGATACACAAAGATATTTCTACATATTAAGGACCTGTAAGAGTCTGGTGTATTTTATTTATTGAAAATACAACAAATCAGCATTATGTAACTGTCCAGACTCCTGCTGGCTTTCTGCTTTTCGCCTTGAGATTCTCCGCATTGCTGCTGAAAACTAGATATATCAGTTTTTATCTTGTTTATATGAAGTTGAAGAACCTCTTGCACACCCTGACTCTACTCTCAGTGGCTCAATCTGACTTAAACTCACTTCATCTCACACTCTGACTGAAATATTGACTCAGGCTCCGCCTCTTATAGCATCTGGCTCGGCTCCGCCTCTCTGCAACATTAATATTCATAAACCATTATATTACATAACATAGACCATAGATCAAATAAATAGAGAATGCTACACTCACCAGATACATAACTTACTGAGCTATCCAGCCAGTTTGGCATTAATAACCCAGCCAGAAATTTTGGCTAATAATATTCTTTATGGAACTCTTTGTAGTCACCATTCCTGACACTTATTTGACCAATCAAAAAAAGGACTTAATTCCAAGGTTCACTAACAATTCCTATTTCTCTCCTGCTTCTCCAATTGAGATCACCACATACAGTGTTATACTAGACATTGGCTGAAATCCTGTCGCACAGCTACAGTGTGCACAAAGCTTCAGAAGCAGCAGGGAAAAATCATGGCAAGACAGGAATAATACCCACAAAGCACTTCCGCAGGCATGTGGCACAACAGTCCTGATGTGAACCTTGACTGTGCAGCCACAGCATAAACTGCACAAATGTCAACCACATAAACAGTTGTGCAACTGTGATGTGAACTGGGCAGCCTGAGACATGAACTGTGTGATCAATTTCTCAGTGTTGCCTGGGCATAAAGTCTGGCACATTTTTGCAGGTGTAACTTTACGTTACTCATTCTTGAACAGGATTTCAGCCATTATGTCTTCTCCAT